CTTATTTCACCTAGCATAATGTCCTTCAGGGTCTTCCACTTTGTCACATATGGAAGGATTTCCTTCTTTTTGGCTGAATACCATTCCATTATTTACATATACCACATTTTCTTTATCCATTCTTACATTGATGGACACAGGTTGTTTCCATATCTTAGCTATTGTGAATAGTACTGCAGTAAGCATGGGAGTGCAGATATTCCTCTGAGATACTAATTTCATTTCCTTTGAACATATACCCACAAGTAGGGTTGCTAGGTCAGATAATAGGTCTACTTTTAATTTTTAGGAACCCCATAATGCTTTATATTGTATACTTGAAATTTTCTTAGAGGAGTAAAAATTAAGTGTTCTCACCACACATATACACACATAAAAAAGATAACTATGTGAAGTGGAGGCTGTGTTAACTTGATTATGGTAATTATTTCACAATGTGTATGTGTATAAAATCACATTGTGTACTGTAAAAATTATGTACAAACTTAATATATGATATTTTGTCAATCATATCTCAATAAATCTAGAAAAAAGAGAGGAGGAGAAGAGGAAGGAGATTGAGAATATAAATTAGGTTTTTAGGTATTTTTCTGTAAAGGGGAGCAAAGACATATGGTGGTAGTTGTATAGTGGTTTAGGGATGAAGAGAATTGTTTGTTTTTATTTAAGATAGGAGAAATTACAGCATGTTTGTATGTTAATGGGAATCATTGATACTGCAGGAGAAAGAAGGGAAGATTGAGCAAGATGTGCCCTTAAGTAAGTAATAGGGACTAGGATCCAGTGAACAACCTAGAAATTTGGGATATCTCTAACATCTAGCATCGTTCTATTGAAGCATTTAAAATAAATTTAGTGGATAACTGCTCTGGGTCACAGTATTTGCCAGAAACATTCATAACAAAGATATAAGAACTGGTTTCTGCAAAAAAAAAAAAACTATAAACAGACAGATACAACACACTATAATCAGGATCATATATACCAAAGGCACTAGGAAAGAGCTAAGGGAGCTCAGGAGAGTGGGCAATTAACTCTGCCAAAGGGAATTGTAATAGCATCAAAGATGCTTTATTATCTAAGGAAATGTTTATTTTCAAGCAATTCTGTATAGTAGTATTAAAAAATGGCAATTACACATTAAAACAGTATTTTTAGATAGATCATTATAAGGCACTCCATCATTGTCAATATTCTTAAAATTATATTTAGTATTCTATTTGTGTTTAATTACAGCTATACAGGGTGGGGAAAAAGTAGGTTTACAGTTGTGAGTACATGAAATACAGTTTAGTCTTGTATTATTGTTTATATTATTTATTAATTATTGTATTATTTTTATACAAACAACTGTAAACCTACTTTTCCCACCCCTGTATATAGTTTATAATGAAGAAGCAACTTGCCATCAATATCAGGGTAAAATTCAAACAAAATCAAACAATACTCATCTTTTACCTCTACTGTATTTCTTAGAATACAGTAAGAGAAACAACACACAATTCCTTCCTCTATGGAGATCACAGTTAGAAAGCTGCAGCTATGCAACAAATGTAAAAATATAGTAACAAAATAATAGTTTAACCATGAGGCACTAGCACAGAGATATCACAAAACTTATGGTAGATCACCAAATGAGTTCAATAGTTAATAAATGTTTTATGCTTATAGGAATAAAAAATTACTTTAAAAGAAAATGGTCAGCAAAGTTTTAAGGGTACTTACCTTTATTTTTTACTATGTTCTTGACTATTATAAATTTTCATCATGAATTAGTGTTACTACCTAAAGAAATATCTTTAAATTTTCCAGATTAATTTTCAGAGATATATTATTAAATTATGTATATTTAAATTGGAATGAGCCACATGTATTGAATTTAATGTGTTAAAAACATTTCACATATGTTAATAATAGTGTACATTTGATTTAAATCTAACAATAATGCATGCAGTGCTCTTTTTTTTACCAACAACACTACAGCATCAAACCATAAAGTTCTTTTTTCCATTTGAACTTTGCTGTCTTATGAAATTAAAATGCTGCTAAATACATTCAGTAGCACACATTTCTAAGCTGCAGTCAAAGATCTGTGTATTTGGTATTAGAAATAATTTAAGCCATTGTCTATTTTTTAATTTGCCAATGACTGCTATTTATATCAGAATGTTACTTGTGTTATTACTTTAACTGTTTTATTAAGTTTGTTTTGATATTTTATTACAATGAAAAATTATAAAAGGAGCAATACTTATAAGCATCATTATTTGTTATAACTAAACGAATATGTACTTTAATTTTCAAAACACTTATTTTGATTTACATTGCTAAATTAATAACTTTATAACTAATAAAGGTAAAAACTTGATGTCCTCCAAAAGTAAACTTTAATTAAAACTTTCATGTCATTTTTGTCTAATTCAATGTATTTTCCTCAATTTTGTATTAGTAATATAGCATACTTCTGTTTTAAAAATTATCCCATGAAAAGTCAGTTTTTAAACCTACAAATTTTTCCTGTGGTTACTGACATACACAGACATATCAAAGCCTGAATTACATGTCTCAATACCTTAGATACATGAGAATCTCAGAGAAGATAGACCAAAATACAATGAATACAATTATGTATTTTATATTCTGTGTGAAATATGTTTCTTATTGTTTTGCACACACATTTGACTCCAAACAACAAACCAATTATTCAAAAAGAATCAAATTAGTTTATGTATGTATATATGTATATGTAACACATAGAGCAAGTAAAAATAATGGCTTATTTATTGAATAGCTCACTTTTTCAAAGATTTTCTTGGTGACATGTAGAAACAGTATTAGAGCTGTTAACTGCTGAAATGGAGCTTATTTTAAAAACCAGATTCTAAAGAAATGTTTGAAAATACAGCATGTACAACATTGAAAATCCAGAGGACTGATTGTGCAAAAAAGTTGAATACATATGACAAAAGGAGACCTTTCCTAAAATCCTGCCCCCTTCCCCCATTGGGCAGAATATATGGAACTTCATCAACTCAACCAAATTTCCTCTGCAAAAGTGTAAAGATCTATTCCATGAGAATTTTAGAATCTTGGGTGATTGTTTATAAAGTTGTTTGCACATCTTGAAAGGAAGCCATTAAATAAACACTGCCTGTTTTGGCTCATTAATAATTTTATCTTGTTTAGTGCATTGTCATATTTTCAAAGTGCTTAGCAAAATATACTAAGAAAACTGTATCAGTGTACATAATAAAAAGCCATAAGGTTGGCCCTGGCTGGTGTAGCTCAGTGGATTGAGAGCAGGCTACAAATCAAAGGGTCACCTGTTTGATTCCCGATCAGGGCACATGCCTGGGTTGCAGGCCAGGTCCCCAGTGGGGGGCACGTGAGAGGCAACCACACATTGATGTTTCCCTCCCTCTCTTTCTCCCCCCCTCCTCCTCTCTCTAAAAATAAATAAATATTTTTTAAAAAAACATAAGGTGTGCAAATTTCCTTGAGAACAGAATTAGAAGTCATCTAGTAGAATCTTTTTAGATATATGGAATGGTTATAGTAATTGATTATGAAATTTAGCTGGTCAAGGAGGGAAATGAAGAAGACATACAGTGACCTGGAGGTGTTGGAAGGTGGGAAGATTTGTGATTAAAGAAGGAAGAATCATTGGAGATCTATAGGGGTATGCTAGAAATGTAGAAGGTGGTAGTTGGAAAATGGGATACAGGGAAGGATTACAGCCTTTGCAGATGACAAGACTAAGTATATGACTACAGGAATGGGTAAATGAGAAACTGTGAGGCCAGAATATTGGAAGCTGAGTATTGAAGTCACCAAAAATTAAGGCAGAAGTGGTATTTGAATGCCTGAGTTTGAATCCTGGTACCATACACTTACCAACTGAGTGTCTTTGGGCAAGTTACATAATCTACCTCAGTTTCTTTATCTAACAAAATGAGGATAATGATAGTATATTTCTCATAATTATGAGAATTAAACAACTTAGTGCTTACAAAACCCTTAGACATTATGTGACATATGGTAAATGATATATGTGTTAGTATCATTATCATGATCATGATCATGATCATCATCATCATCATTATTATTATCATCCAGGCCTGTGTGATTCTTTGCTTTATCAATTCAAAATTTATTAAGCAACTATTGTGTGTCACATATTGTGCTAGATATGATTCTTAAACTTTTGTATAATTCTTTTCACTGTTTCATGCTTCAGGATTTCAAGTTGATCAAAAAATAATACACTGTAGCTTCACCAAAAAGATATCCTTGAAGTCTATGCCATAAGTTCTTGTGAAATTAAATGTTGTCTAGTAAGAATACAGACCCAGAGGGAAATGTGACAGGTCAAAGCAGTTAATAGTTGGATCTGAAAACTAAACTTATTTATTCACAATAACAAAAGAGGAGTTTGGGGCAGACCCAGCTATAAGTTTCGAAAGAGAATCTAGGCATAATGCTGAAGCATGAGAGTATCCAAAAAGTATTAGGAGTTAGGAGGCAGTGAAGATAGGAAGTTAGTACTGTGGTGTCCCAATATGAAACAATGGGTTAATGTCCTGGAATGCAGGTTAAATACAAGGAGCTACTATGTTGGAGATTGGCTATCAATATATAGACAGGAGGGCATTGGGTAATAAGATGGAGATCCAGTTACTGAAAATGAAGTAAAATTCACTAAAATAATGATCCTCTTTGTAAAGGACCACCTCCAAAGTCTGCGGTGCTAGAGAGCAAACCTAGGCTATTCTTTATTATTTACAAAAAGTACCTTATGTTTGAATTATCACCTGGCCAATTGCCACAGGCAGTTTCACCTTCTGGCTCAAAACACACACATTTTTCATCTACACAAATGCCAACCATAATGTTGCATATGATTGAGTGTGTTTTGCAGACTGTAGCTAAAAATCACTGTAAGTTTAAGCGGACATGGGGAAGGAAAACAATGTGATGTGAATTTTGTTCTCTGTGTTTAGGCAAGCTACGACCTATTTCTATGCCAGTGGAATATAATTGGGTGGGGGACTATGAAGATCCAAATAAGATGAAGAGAGATAGTAGAAGAGGTAAGTGTTCTAGAATTTCAGTGTAGGCTGGGTTGTTGGAACAAAAAGCAAATTTAAATGTTCTTTAAATAGGATGTTATGGCTTCAGTAGAAAATTTTAATTCTCTCATTAATGTGATGGTACACCCTAACTGACTCAGACCAATATTTGATGATCTTGATCTGTTATTAAGCAGATATCTTCTCTGAATGCCTCCTAAGGGATTCAGGGTAGATAAGTGCAGTGTAAAAATGAATATCTGATTGTTATTTGAAAGTTAACATTTGGAAAACAAGGTCAGAAGTGTGAAACTGCATAAAAGTTTAGTAAATAGAGTTTGTGATCAGTCCCCCTTGGTCCGCAATGCAGCCTCACCACTTTTATGTTAATACAACCTTAAAATGAGCAGTGAGCGTATGGATAAAAGGTAATGGAAACTGGGCCAGTGACTCTAATGAAAACCATACAGAAATGGAAAAAAACCTGCTTTGCTCTTTTTTCTCTTCTGTTTGCTGTTCAGGGTTATCTTCTTACTGGGGGTGGGCTACACTTGAAGTATCTACCAAAAGTAAGTTTTTATGTTCACTTATCCTGCATTGAGGTGAGCAGTAAAGAGGACAACTGAAAGTCACACTACTAAATGGTATTCGATCAAGTGTAGATATGGGGGGCCCAGTGGGTCATGCTGCTACTTCCACTTTCTGAGGTCAAGAGCCATAAAGTTGTAGATGAAAAATAAAACAAATCCAAACAAAGCAAAAAAGAATCATAAAACCTAAGCTCATGAAGCTTCTATCAGAGTATGTTTAGCCCATTTGTCTGTTCTATCTGATGTACAGAATATGTTTCATTACTACATAGATCCATAGACCACACAGGGATAAGCAAGCATGAATATCTGCTTCATTAGTCTTCTTAACACTTGTTTTATGGAGCAGGCACTGCTGAAAATGTTGCTAAATATGGGAACTTTGACAGATTTTTTTACATCTATGTATTCATTCCATTTTTTAACTTCAGTTTCTAACCTCATTTGCTTTATAGAAGTAATCAAGAAAAAATATAAAAAGCAAAATGCTTATCATATGCCATCTCTGAGTCACTCTGTGGAACTTCATATGATAGTAACATCTTGGGGTGGGAGGAAGCCTTATGAAGTACTAAGTGCTAGCTATCAATTTAAACACAGATTTTATAAACTAAGTTTCCTTGCTATTGTTTCATAATGTGGACTTTAATTTCTTCAAGGATGCTACCTAACCTGCCATAGGTTGGTGTTTGTCATCAACTTTTAGCAGAATTCCCCTGGGGGAGCTTCTGCTTTAGGTTCTGCAAGTGACTCTGATATAGTTGGTTAAGAGATGAAACTTGGAGATAATAATTTTTGTTTTCTATTTCTTATTGCCCTATGATCCCAAATAATAAGGTCCTCTTTTTTTCACTATGTAGCTATTTTATAAATTAAATCAAGTTATTTTTCTGAAATGAAATTTAATAGCACAATTAGGAAATAGTAAATTTGGAATATTTACATATTTATATTAGTGTTTTTATCTCTTTTCATATAGAAAACTCTCTACTCCGATACATGAGCAATGAAAAAATTGCTCAAGAAGAATACATGTTTCAGAGAAACAGCAAAAAAGACACGGGGAAGAAGTCTAAAAAGAAGGGAGATAAGAGTAATAGCCCGACCCACTATTCATTGCTACCTAGTTTGCAAATGGATACATTGAGACAAGACATCATGGGCACACCTGTGCCAGAGACCACACTGTATCATGTAAGTATAATTTCAGACTCTGTAATACAGCTTTGATTCAGAGACTATTTTTGCTAAATTCCAGATTATTTATTTTTATCTTGATGCCAGATTTTGACAAAAGATCCTAAGCTTAGAGTTTCATGCCCTTAAAACACATTGATTGTGTTGGCTTATTGATTTGTTCTTCAGTTCATATGTTCAATGAGTTCATATGCCATAGCTGGTTAGATTTTTAATGAAATAATGAAATATGCATAGAATTATTTGAGAATAATAACTAATTGATTAATTATCAGTGAGTGTAATAATAACAGCAAATAGCTACCTATAAAATTCCACATTAAAGATAGGATTTTTAATGTATTCATGATTTTATTTAAAAATGAGAAACTACTAGACTTGGAGCATAGTACTCAAGGTAAAAATGGGAAGATATAGCACCCCATTATATGGAGAGAGAGTCACTCCAAGAGTCTCAATGTATTTTGACTATTGTAATGGATGGGTACAAGAAATATAGGAGGAACATGGGAGGAGAAGGGACTCAGCCTTCTAGGGAAGTGGGGAAAGGCTTTAGAATGGGGATCATTTGAATGAAGAGTGGAAGATGAATAACAGTATTGTGGGAAGACATATGGAGTTGTCCCACAATGTGTGAGACACTGGCATATTTTAGAGTCTCCACATGGCTAAGAATTAGTGGTTTGTTAAAAATTGAAGGAAAGTGCCCTGTCTGATGTGGTTCAATTGGTTGGAGCATTGTCTCATAAAGGAAAGGTTGTGGGTTTGATTTCCACTCAGGGCACATGCCTGGGTTGAGGGTTCATTCCTGATCAGGGCACAGAGGAAAGGCAACTGATCAATGTTTCTCTCTGACATCGATGTTTCTCTCCCTGTCTCTCTCCCTCCCTTCCCCTCTCTCTAAAATCAATAACCATGTCGTCATGGGAGGATTAAATAAAATTTAAGGAAAATATGTGAGAAAGGGGAAGTAGATGGACCTAGAGAGGTAGGTGAGCTTAGATCAGGGATTTTATGATAACCTACTTATGCACTTTCCTGCAGTGATGAAGAGTTATTGAAGAATTTTGAACTAGGGACTTGCACGATGAGAGTAGCCTGTTAATCTCTTTGATGCAGAGCATTGATCAAGAGGTATAAGGCCAAAGGCAGGGCTGTTAAGCCTGTCCAGAAGATTATGAGGACAATGGCAGTGTAGGGGCTGAGAATCTTGTTAACCAGAACATTAAATCACAAAAACAACCCATGTTTATCATTTTGGTTTAAAGTGAGTTTGTTGTACCAATGGAACTATTGCTCCTTATTAGGAGCTCTTGAAAAACATTGACTATACCTTTTAAGTAATTTGAACAACTGTGTATTAGCTGAGAGTATCAAAAAATTTAGTCTGTCAGTGCTGTAGAAGTGTATCATTTAGGTATACAAAATGTGAAACAGTTAATAACTTATACTTGAGTTGCTTTTCTTAGTAAATTTTTAAAATCATATATTTATTCTATAACTTTAATAAAACTAGAATGTAGAGAAATATTTTCATTTATTTGGGTTGAAGTAGGAGTATACTTCACAATCATAAGTGTTCATTCTCTACCTTCCTCTGTTCCCAGTAACACCCCCAAGCCTCTTCCTCTTCAAGAGTGCCCATATCAAAACCTGCTCCTTTGAATGGCTGACAAATCAAATTATTATTTTTTCCACAGGTATTTGCAGTCAGTATGAAACCAATATTCTTAGCTGTATGAAAGGGGCCATTTTTACTATCACTAGTCAGAAATGCTCTCTGAACACTGAGCTCTCTCTAAAATCTGGTGTTCCAGTCACAAGTAATAGATTGAACAAAATCTAAAGATAAGAACTAGCTGGCTTGTTTCAAAGGGAAGTTGGTAGTGAAAGATGGGGCTGGAGAGGGAACAAGAGGCCACTTTACCCAGAGTGTGCAAACTATTAAAGTTGGATTTATCCTAAGAGGAGTGGTAAACCATTGAAGAAGCATTTAAACACTCAGCCTGCACCATCCTATCATGCATATCCGGACAGTAGACTACTGTGAGGAAGGAAAAGAGAGAAATGAGTCTTGAAGATTTTGAGTTATTAAATTATGGAAGATAGTAAAAGGTGAGCCAACTCATAATCAGAAAGATTGTGAGTATTTTCTAGGAGTATAAATTGTTACCACCTTCCTAAGGAGTATTATTTAGTTATATGTATCAAGAACCTGGTCTAGTAACTTTACTTCTACAAGTTTATTCCAGGAAAGAAATCAGAGGATCTACTTTTGCCTCCTACTTTAATTAATGTATCCTGAATGTGCAATGTAGTATTTCCCAGATAGGTAATTACTCCAACTGATTTTTGATAGAACAGCACAGAGTAAGGAATGTTACTAATGATGGGAGAAGTCTTCCCATTTAACAGTGACCTGCTAATCCCACAGCAGAAGGCTGGACACTTTCTAATTCTATTCTCTGGTTTAAAAGAAAAAGAATTGTTAGCCCCAATGTACATGTTAGAGGTTTCTAACCAGTGTTCAAAATGAGAACACTCTTTGGTGAGTTTTTTACTATATTCTCAGTTCTCTTGTGGACCTTACCTTGCTTAGTACTTTCCCAGTTATCAAGGGAGTTTCCATATTTGTTTTATCTTTTGAACCTCACAACAACCATATTTGTAAATAACAAAACTCAAACTCAGAAAGATTAAGCAATCTACCCAAAGTTGTACTACAAAAAAAGGAAAAGAGGTGTAAGAGTAAGGACTAGAGCCCAAGTCACCTACCCCAGTGATCTTTCCACACTCTACCCTGGTATGCTGTGCATGTACTAAATGAGTGAATTTTGAAAAAGTTTGACTTCAAGAAGCATGTGCTTTCATAGATATATTTTAATAACATCTTCAGTACCTGCATTGATTTCTACCCAGATTTATCTTTTTCTCTGTCACTATTTTTTATGAAGTTTGGAAAAACATACAGAGCTCCTGGTGTTATAAAGCACAAGCAGTTATTCAGCATGATCTATTGCTGAGACTAGAGTACTATAGTTAGAATTGCCTGAACCTCAAAGGCGAAACAATGTACACCTAAATGGCTGCTTCTTATATTTCACAGGAATTCTTGGTTTACATTTTCATTGCTTATACATGCTTATTTAAAAATGAAAAAAAAAAATTTTCAGTCCTGGCTGGTGTGGCTCAGTGGATTGAGCGCCAGCCTGCAACCAAAGGGTCGCCAGTTCAATTCCCAGTCAGGGCACATGCCTGGGTTGCACACCAGGTCCCACGGGGTGTGCAAGAGGCAACCACACATTGATGTTTCTCTCCCTCTCTTCCCCCCTCCTTTCCCCTCTCTAAAAAAATAAGTAAATAAAATATTAAACATAAAAATAAAAATGAAATTTTTTTCTTTATGTTAAATTTCCTGAAGAGCAAGAACAATATCATATGTATTCTAATCACCTTCATGATGAACAACTAATCTTCATTCTTACCAATTCAATTATTTCTTTGGATAACTCAGCCAATTTTCATAGAGTAAGACTTAGTGGAAGAGAACTATGAAGATTAAGTACTGAGTTTCACAGGTGATCTCTGCTGTAATACTGTCTCCATGTGGTCTGAGTTCAAATTCAAAATGAGTTCAAATGAATTCAAATTTAAGGAAAATGTAATTGAATTTAATGGTAGAATTATACCAGCATTAAATGCCCTTAAACAATTTACTAAAGTTGTGCATGTGTGTATGTGTATATGTAGGATGTTCCTTATAAGCAGACCTAGATTATAATATCCATTGGTCTGTTTTGGAAAGCAGCCCAATAAAAATACACAAAGCAACAAAAATACAGTTTGGCTTTAGTGTTTGACTCATTCCTCTTAGCAATTACAGTAGAAATGTTTATATAATAATAAAGAAGATTTAGCCCTGGCTTGTGTGGCTCAGTGGATTGAGCACTGGCCTGTGAACCAAAGGTTCGTCGGTTTGATTCCGAGTCAGAACACATGCCTGGGTTGTGGGCCAGGTCAGGTCCCCAGTAGGGGGCGTATGAGAGGCAACCACACATTGATGTTTCTCTCTGTCTCTCCCTCCCTTCCCCACTGTCTAAAATAAATAAAAAATCTTTAATAATAATCATAATAATAAATAATAATAATAAAGATTTAGAAGTCCAGGCAGCCCAGCTACAAAATCCACATTTTTAGATGAATAAAACTATTTCTGTTCATAAGGATTGTACCATCTCTTAGAGAAAACAGAACTATTACTAACATAAAGGTGAAAATATGTTATATTGTCAGCATATGAACATTTATAATTAAGTTTACCTACAGTGATAAAGTTTGATTTGTCTAATAACTGCCTGACTTAGATGCATTGTTTTAGCATCAATGAAACTAAGACCAAAGGACAGTTCATTGTAGTGGTTAGAAAGCCATCTCTGAGCTACCAGTTGTTTATAGCAATTACTATCTCCACATTTTGACTTTATTCACCTGGATGACAGTCATAGAACAATGTGATTATGATCTTTCTCCTCATCACCAAGCATGCAGACATGTTAGACATCCATTCTAAATATCATTGTATTTGTTTTTGTATATATTCTGTCTGATTTCTATGGATGATTTTATTATTTCTAGAGTGTTAATGCCAAATTCATAGTAGCACTGGCAAAGCCCTACAGGGAAACAGTCTGGACTGTGAAAAGTGTTTCCCATTGGGCCATTTTACTAGAGCAGTGATTCTCAAAGCAGGGGCTATCTTTGGCTAAAAGCTCCTAGTCACTGAGGCTTGATGCAGATATGGCAGTCCTTTCTTTGATTCTTATTGGAAAATAACACATAGTTTGACAGAGTTTCTTTCTCTCTTGTGACTAAACAATGCTACATAGTAGCTTACTAAATGATTTTTTAACAAATTAGTTTTTTTATTGTTGTTCAAGTACAGTGGTGTCCATTTTGCCCCACCAACTCCCCCACCCTACCCATCCCTGCCTCCCACT